TAAGGTGTTCTTGTGTGCTGATGTTCGAACACCTCATAAAAAAATGCAAACAGACAGAATAGCGGTTGCTGTTGTAGTCGGAATATCCGGGTGGAGGGTGGGCTCGAGGGAACAACATCGAAGTTAAAAGTTGTTTTACGAACATCTGCGGGATGAACAGCAACATTGATGCTGTTCATCACTACCTGCAATCAAATCGTCGCGCCATCCTTTTCTCGGCGGAGACAAAAATCTCAGAGTCTGCACCGATTAACCATCTTAACTTCCCAAACTACGAGGTGGACTCCAATCTGAGAAAGAACGGGGGAGTTGTGGCTTTTGTCCGCAGCAATCTTTCCTGCTCCAGAGATGTTTCTTTGGAATCAGACCGGAAGGACATTCTGTGGCTTCGCCTCAACTCCAAAACATCACCCAAATTTATTTGCTGCCATTATCGCTCTCCCTCGGACCATAACTGGGATGACCTACTTGAATACCTCGCCATCAAGATCGTCTTCCTGAACATCAATCACCCCGCTTCAGAGGTAGCTCTTCTCGGTGATTTCAATGTCCATAATGAGCTTTGGTTGGGCTCGAACAGGACCGATCCAGCCGGTCGTGCAGTCGAAGCGTTCGCTCTTACTCAAGGGCTTACCCAGCTGGTGACGAGCCCCCTACCTTTTTGCCACGCGTCTAGTCATATGCCAGTAGCCTGCTGGATCTCTTTCTGACCACACATCGTGTCCCTTACAGTACTGCTGTCATGTCCCCTCTGGGTAACTCAGACCATGGTGTTGTGGAGGCTAGGTTTCGATCAGAACAAGCTGTGGCAGCAGAAACTCGTACAGGCCGCAAAACTTGGCTTTACGGACATGCCGACTGGGTGGGTCTCAGCGACTTCTTCTCTACCTTTCCTTAGAGAGATGTCTGTCTTACTGACGCGTATGCATCGGCTGTCTGTTCTTCGATAACCGAAACTATCCAGGTCCGAATGGAGGAATACATCCCTCACACAGTGAAAGTGCCTAAACCAGGGTCCAACGGCTGGTTTAACAAATCGTGTGAGGCTGCTCGCCAGCAGAAGATCAAGGTACACAGAACCTTCTCAAAAAAACCCACTGTAGAGCACTATTTAAAAGTTAGACACAGGGTAATGTCGCAGCTCAATGACAGTCGGTCTTTCTGGACGCTAACCAAGCAGATTGAAAAGAACTTCTCACACAGTAACCTTCTACCTCTTATGTGTCAGAATGGAACGATTGTATCCGACTCAAAGGCCAGTCTCGGGACCCTTACCCACCGGCGGGCCGTCGGCGATCTAGCTTTTTTCTACCGCTACACCAACGGGCTTTGCTCCTCAGAGCTGAGTTCTATGATGACGCCGAGCGATGTGCCTGCCAGACAGACCCGCCTGACTTTGGCGTCCCATCCTAACCGTGTCGAACTTTGTACTGGCCGATACAACCGCTCCTTTGTCCCGAGGGTGTCGAGATTGTGGAACAATCTACAAGAGGAAGCCTTTCCTGGTTCCACTAACCTCAGGCAGTTCAAAAATCGTATTAACAAAATTTCTTTGGGATCATCGTATCCCGGCATTTAGGTTTCTGCTTGCGCGGCTGCTTTGGTATAAAAAAAAGAAAAAAGTTTTTGAATGCTATATTTACACCTGACCCTGAACTGTCTGCCACAGTCTCAGTTGTATACGCTTAAGTACCTATACCCCTTGTGCCATCTGAAACTGTTGGAAAATTCAAATAGCACATTTTTTCAGAGTCGTCTGAAAACTCTTTGCTCATTTTTGTTCTTATTCTAATAACGGGTGTATATCCCCTGAATATTCATTGTATATTTTAATATATTTATCTCATATTCATCAATCCACATTAGTAGCACATACCTACTAATTTTCACATGAGCAGCATGTCTACAATATGTTATATGTAATGCATACATTTTTTCAAATAGGTAGTTTTTATCTTCATTGCATATTCTAATTGATCTTCACAAATATGAAAATGCAATTCTAAATATTACTCTAAGATGAAAAATATGTTTTGGGAAGGTGGGATATACCTATTGATACATAATGTTTATGTATTTTTTAACTACCTTTCCAATATGGTTTATTTAAAGAATATGGCTTGACTAGAAGAAAAGTGTTATATCCAAGATGATCGCTGCATCAAGATGGAGCATTAGATATACATTATATTTGGTACAAAAGCATAGCACTGAATCTCGTACGAAATAGCCCATAACTCCAAATTATTTATATGTAACCGTTTTTGAGAGTCAGACCAGAATCCATGGGTTCATGGCCACAACCAGCACCCCATCCTGTAAGTGATGCGTCGGTAAAATTGTTATATGAAAGGAATCATACCTGATGTCATTGAAGGCTTTTGAAATATGATTTGTCCACCAAAAAATATCTGGCTTTATGCTTTCAGGGATAGGCTTCTTTTCGTCAGGAAGTTCTATTTTTAAATGGACACTATCTATCATAAAGCCTAGAAATTTTATTAAGTGGTAGGTACTAGGATGCTTTTGTTTTTATTGATTATAAGACCTAACGATTTTAAAAGACAAATGGTTGTGTTGACATGTTTGAGACAGGATTCATAGGAATTTCCGAATATTAGGAAATCGTCTAGGTAATTGACTGTAGAGATGCCTAAAGTGCGGAGAAAAGAGGCGACTGGCTTCATGAGTTTTGTGAAGCATAACGGAGCTGTACATAACCCGAACGGTATGCAGGTAAATTGGTATAATTGACCTTCAAATTGAAATTTAAGGAATGGTTGATGGTCATTGTGAACGGGTACCAAAAAGTATGCATCTTTCAAGTCGATTGTGCACATATACACGTTTTTGTGAGTCACTTTAATAGCCGTTCGTAGGTCCTCCATTTTAAAATGCGGACATTCCACATATTCATTTAATTGTTTTGTATTTAAAATAAACCTTTTTCCACCGCTGGATTTATCTGCTAGGAAACGTGGAGAGATAAATTGTTCGGGCCTTGACTCAGATTTGAGTATGGCTCCGGACCTTAACAAATCGTTTATAGCTAATCTTACTAGCGATGTTTCTGTAGGGAAAAAATTATTTTTAACCAAGCGGTGGCATGATGGAAGGTTGTCTTTAAAGGGAATCCTATAACCTTGAATCCAGGATAAGACTGTCAAATTTGAGGTTAGTTTGGACCAAGAGTCCAAATAAAACTGTAAACGGCCAGCAAACGGAACTTGTTTTACCTTCAGCGTTTCCTGATTTGCTGTTGGCTGTTCTGAGGAAACTGTTTCGAGGAATGGCCCTTGTATTGCCTCACCTCCCTCTTGCGGTAAGACGGGCGATACCTGTTTGAAGGTCCTGCATTCTTGGACGAGCTGCCCCCCCTCTTCTTTCGGAATGATTGAAGGCCCGCGCTGATTGAGAGCTAATGCGTGAGGGGTTAGAAGGCAAACGTAAGTCCTGTCCTGCCTAAATCTGGCCCAAACAAAATTTCACCAGGTATGGTATTTTCAGTCAGTTCTTTAACTGATTTGTTAAGTACTGGGCTAATTAAATATTTCCTTGTTTTCGAAATATCGTGGAAAAGAGCCGCCAATATTCGTGCAGAAGACTTTTTCCCTGACAAGACTCCTCAAGGAACTGGGAGGGTGCATGTTGTGCATATGTTCGTGAAATTGTGCATAATATGCACAATTGTGCATGTCGGAACATCCCCGGAACTTGAACGTCTACGGCTCAGCCGAGAACGAGAACGCCTAAAGTAATGGGGCGAATCGGCACGAGACCTCGACCTGCTGCTTCTACCCTCAAGTTCCAGGTGTGAAATGTCTTTAGGGATGCTGGATTCGTCTTTCAATATAACGTTGAGTGCTTTTCCTAGGGTGGTTAGTCCGTTACCAATGTGCAATTGGTACCCGGAGTGAGTGGAATCCCTAGTTAAATGTGTGGATGAAAGAATAGCTTTCACTTCGGGATTTACTTTTGGAGGACGTAATAAACCGAAATTAGATGGCACATTTTGTTTTTCGCTAAGGATAGAAATATCTTCGGCGGATAGCCCGTTTGCCAAAATATGGGACCACCTGGAGGTTAGGGCACCGTGAAGTTTAAAACTAGACGTATTAGCCTTTTCAGGATCGGCACCCAGAATATTTAATGTGTCCTCTGATAATGGCATACAATCGGCATCGTCGAGTATCAAAACATCGTCCATACAGTTTTGCGTTATTGGCGCCGCTCCCAAATCCGGCCCTGTCAGTACCTGAGCTTCCGGCCCGCACGGGGAACGACCAGCCAGGCCTACCTGATGCCTCCCAAATCCGGCCCTGTCAGTACCTGAGCTTCCGGCCCGCACGGAGAACGACCAGCCAGGCCTACCTGACGCTGTGCATTATCAGCTGGGCTGATGAATTCTGTTTTTTTCCCGCACATATTCTCGTCTCTCTCTACGTCGCCTCGACACGCTCGGTGATCGACTACGACTGATGCTACTCCGCGAACGAGACCTTGACAGTGTTGTTCTCGATAGATTTTGAATTGTGCAAAGATGTCAATAGAAATAGTGCATGTTTCTTTAAAAATGTGCATATATGATATATGTATACTAATTTTCTGGCGCAGCCGCCAATTTAAAAGAAAAACTGAAATTTCATGGAACCATTGACGTGGTCCCTGCCGCCAGGCTTTTCTTCCATGGTTTTCTGCTAAGTATATCTTATATTATATATAACGTGCTACTAGATGAGCAACAAAACAACCCATTGTTGTACCTACTTACCAACCTACTCACCAAGCACTAAACCGATTTGAAAAGGAATCGCGTATTTTACGTGTTTCCTAACGCACAAACAAGCCGGGCGACCGTACGACTGTAACACCAAAAACCGAATGACTCAACGTGCAAGACCGGAGAGCGACGAGACGGGAGCGGGGATCTCTTGTCTTTTAACTTGGTGTGCGACTAGTAATCCAGGGCCGGACTACATAGTAAATAAACAAAGTGATGTCTTCGGACTGGACCTAAAGTATAATTCCAATTAATGTGAATATATCACTGGGTTTGCTTTTTTATTCCCATTTTCTTAGTGTTGGTTGTAAACCATATCTATCAGTGAAAAGCTATGCACAGAAATAAAATTAGTTTTTGCCTTTTTCGTTTTTGTATATTTTACATATGCATTACATGTGTATACAATATCGGTTATCTATGTGTCACTCATTTAGGTTCTCAGTATATATCGTGCATGTAGGGATGATACTAAATTTGAAAAATCACTATATACGTATATATACGCGGAACGGAAAACAAAACATTTTTGACATAACATTCAGTTGTCCAACTTCCAAAATGGCACCATGATCAATTTACAAGACTTCACGTTCTTTTAGATGGAATGATAGCTAACTAATCGACGTGCAATGCTGAATATGTATTGAAATGTTGTCTATTCTATTACGACAAACTTAAGATTAACACCTGACCTAATGTCGGGACATCCCGTAAAGTTCCTACTGATCTTAGATAGAATATGCAAGAATTGCTTACTACCCTTATTTTGGACATTCAAGGTTACAAGTACGATATACATATAACAGAATAAATGCTCAAATAAAATAGATGCCCAATAAAAGGCTGAGTTCACCTCAGGGTTCTCTTCCGCACGCCATTTAGAGATAAAATCACATAATCTATATTCATAACTGAGAATCATAAGTTTGATTTGAATATCTATAATAGGTTACATATTTTGATTTTTATAATGAAAAAATTCGATATAACACTAATATTACATAACCTAACTAAAGATACATACGTTATATACGGCATGGAGTGCAACAGTATACGACCAACACTAATCACATACATCTAAATACATTTTCCTCACAGCATTCTTACAACTAGATAAATACAAGGTTTGGGTATCTAGGGATGAATTGAATATATTATATTTGAAACTTCTTTGGTATACTGTCGTTTTATGAGCCGAAACACTATTTCTATAGTACTGCTTTTGAACTTTACTTTATTGTACCTATATGTAAGGAGGGTTCTTGGTGGACAGAAGTTTATGGTAAGATCATAATATGAGTACCTCGATATGGTGTTTCATATTCACTCACTTATGAGCTCGTTGTATCCAAGTAGATGTTTCATGTTCTACGCAAGGGGAGTTAACAGGAATACCATATGAGAACTCTAATAAGATCAGAGATGCACAAAGCATAATCGCTTCACATGTAAGGAAAAGTATTTCCTTTGAATACACTTTTCAATGTGTTTTTTGAATCGTAAGTTATTGTCAAATATGAGTCCCAGATTTTTAGCGGGGTTTTGATTCTTATAGGTGAATTATCACTAATATAATTGTGATTACTTCAGAATAGCACTACGGAAGATTTGTTTAGATTTAACAGAAGCTTATGGTCTGCAGATGAATGTGCTAATGTTTTTTTATGTCCTATCTTAAGCTTCAGCCCAGTTTGTATCAGGAAATGTGATGTAAAACTGAGCGTCATCAGCATACATGTGCGATGAACAGAATTCAAGGTGCTTTGTAATTTTTTTGGTAGATAATGTGAATAATTCATCCTTGAGGAACTCCGCGACTGACATTTTCAACTTTCTGCAACTTCCCGTTCGCGCTGTTGCCTTTGACTCCTATTGATTTCTAAATGTCTATCGTAGTGTGGACAATGCAATAAAAGGATTTACTATAATCAAGTAAAACTAATGTTGTGCAATGTCCTCTATCATGAGCTTCTATAACTTCATCCATAATATGAGCAAGAACAGTGGAGCAACTACGAGTATATCCTCAAAATACCGATTGATTAATATATAATATAATAATTGGCCCATTCTCCGTGTAACTAGGACGTTCCGTGAGGGCACAGACATGGTGAAACAGTAGGTAGTATGGACCGAGTCCTTTTCATACAAAGGGTACCATAAAAGTTTTGCAATGCAGCTTTATTTATTGACAAAGTAATTTCCACCACATTCAATACACGTCTCCATCCGCCAAAACCAGTCCTTGAACCAGCTCTGCCAAATTTCACCCGGGAGTGCGGCACACTTGTTGTCCCGAGCCCTCAGAAGGTCCTCATCGCTAAAAAATCGTGTTCCTTTTAACTTCATTTTCACATCCGAATCAGTGCAAAGTCGCAGGGAACAAGATCTGGACTGTAAGGAGGGTGTTCAATAAGTTTCAAAGTTTCAGTCCAATTATGGTCAAATACTCGGTGCAGGCTTTAGTGCGGTGAGATAGAGCGTTGTCATGCTAGAGGTACCAAGTGCCCATTCTTGACTTTGGCCGCAAGTTTTTCATAGACTCGATGACTTTATGCGGGCACTGTTCCGTGTACCACTTAGCTGTGACTGTCTTCTGTGTATCCAAACCGAGACGCTCCTCGATCCCGCCCGATTTGAAAAATACAGCTATCATTTCTTTCTTAACAGTTCGGGATTTTCTGACAGCTACAGGTGTGTCCTAATCATTAAAGATCGACACTTTTTGTTTAGAGCCTTGGTCGGCACGTCGTAATAATAGAGCCAAGTCTCATCACCTGTCACGATTCTGTTCGCATACCGAGATTGCCCCTTATCAAACATTTTCAGCATCTTTCGGCACCAAGGCGTTCGTCGAGTCTTCTCTTCCGTCAGACTATGTGGTACCCAGAGAGAACAAAGTTTCCTTACGTGTGAATGTTCATGCAGAATTGAATGATTCCCTGGTGCTTGAAGGTGTAAGGTCTCCTCTATCTGCTCGTATGTCACTTTCCGATCTTCGTCAAGCATTTTCCTTACATCAGTAATGTTTCCTCTGTTACTGACGTTCGCGGCATTCCTTCCCTCTCAGCGTCCTCCAGAGTCAAATTACCCCTTTGGAATTCTGTGTAGCACCTGAATATAGTAGTACGATGGGGGCAATCATCCTTTAATGCAGCGTTATACTGGTCTATGCTTAACTACGCGTAAAGTTATACCGTAAGACTGTCCTTATCTCACTACGTGACCACGATGCCATAGTCCGCACTTTACACTGTCAATACGAATGAACAACTAAATCAACAGGCGTGCCGTGTGCGGCTACTATGCACTCATGAACATGCAGTTTGTTAAGTCATATTGGAAAACTTTTATCGTACCCTGTATCTTAAAATAGAAATGTTCTAAATTAGTTCAACTAAACAGGGCAAATCTTCAATGTCACATTATCCCAGTCACTATTGAGCCGGTTCATAAAAATCGGTTGTTATGAAATTTTGCTCAATAGCAAAGTTGGAGTAGTTATCGAGCCGTTAGAAAATTCAAGGCCATACTCGATTTGTCAACCCTGTTGTAAACCACAAAAGCAACACCTTTTGAGCTGAATAATCAAATGTTTAGCTATGTAAAAAATTAATTATATTGTATATTATTATAATCGCGCCTCGTTTAGTTTCTTAATTGATTTTTTTTATTTATTCGAATATCTTATTTCTATCAACATTTCAGTGTTCAGCTTAAAAGGTGTAGATACAGTTGAAATATAAAATAGCTTAAAAAAACCCGGATTTTTCAATCGTCCAGCTAACACAAAATCGCCTGAGATGTATGATATTTGGCATGTTTAGATAAATATATAACTGTTAAAAATTAATTTAAAACTTTTCATTTTCAGATATGAAAAAGGTTGGTCCCAAACTATCTACAATTTCGCTATGTTCACTTCCTCGCGGAACACCCTGTAAAACTCTTTATGTTTTGAAAGTTGCAAACGCAATCGAATATTCGATACTCCTGGCGTTTCGCGGAAGTAGTTATGAGCAGTTGTAGTAAGGCATAAATGCAATTGCGCATTTTTAAGCTAAAGACAGACACTACCTATTAGCTACTTCAGAATCCTTGTGTTTTCGTTGGTGAGTTACCATAGCCTTAATGACGACTGTTCTGAAGTCACAGCTTTGACATGCCTGTATTCTGTGTGTTATCGTTTCAATTAGCTCCTCATTTGAACCATGGTATCTCAAGATATGTTCGTCGATGCAGTTTTTCCTTAAAAACTCCTTTCCACAGTCAGTACATATAAAATCCTTCTCTTTTGTATGAGTTTTCGTATGTCTTTCATAACTGTGTTTTCTTAGTGTTTTATAATCACAAATAGTGCATTTATAAGTAACATCGCTGACAGAATGTGTTTTCAAGTGAGATGTAAGATTGGAACATCTGATGGTTCTATATGAACAATATATACAAGAATATACACGCTTAATACCTAAGGTATTTGCTTCAAGTGAATGAGCTTGAACGTAATGATTCTCAAGTGACTCAATTGTATTATAATCTTGATCACAGTGCATGCACTTGTGAGGTTTGGTGCGTTTTGAATGAACATCCAGCATATGGTTATACAATCTGCTCTTTAGGCATGTCTTAAAATCACAAATATCACAAACATGTATGCGTGTACTTCCGTTGTGACTCGCTTGGTGCTTTGTCAAACTTCGTTTGCGGTATGTGGTATAGTCACAAAAATCACAAGCGAGCAGCTCTCCACATCTATTATGAACTAGTTGGTGCTGTGTTAAATTCCGTTTACGGTAAGTTGTGTAATCACAAATGTCACAAGCAAGCAATTTTTTGTTGGTGGTGTCGTGGACTATACTATGGGATCGCAAGCTATTTTTGTGGTATGAGGTGAAGTCGCAAATATTACATTTGTATAGTTTCTTATTCAATTTGTTGTGAACTAGATCGTGCCTTTCCAAATACTTCTTTTGGCACGTCTTATAGTCGCAAATTTCACATTTGTACAATAGTTTATTAGTGTTGTCATGTACTAGATTGTGCACTTGCAGATTCTTCCTATGCTTAGTTTTGCAGTCGCGTAGATTACAGCAGCAGCTCTGGTCCAGTTTGCCCAATGATTTCATGTCTGATAATGTATCCATGATGCAAACAACTGCCTTATTGATCCTGAAAAGATATAACTGTTAAAAATGAATCTTACACTACTATATCTGTGTATTTTCAATATCCTTTTGGGACTCATCTCCAAAAGTCCATTTTCTAAAAATTATTAATGTCGCTAAAATTATGACTAAAGGAAGGCATAAGGCGAAAACAAATATGGGGGATAATTTGCAATCTCTCAACTTTAGGTGGGCAGTAAATGACTATTTCTCCTAAATGTTTTATTGCGGAACTCGTTTTAATTTACTAATGGCAAGATCTACGATGGGTAATCTGCCAATTCAAAGCCTACGTGATGCAGGGCAGCCATAGCAATGTAGAAGGTATACGAATATAATTCACGCTATCCATGCCATATTGCCACCATATTAAAATCATAATGACATCTACGGATTGATCGCCTTGCAGGACCGAACCGTAACAAGCCTGCTAGTTAACAAGTTTCTTATACCTTTTACAGGGTGTCCCAACGAAAATGGAAAGTAGTTTTTTGAGCACATTGTAAAAGATAACAAAAACCTGTTTCCGTGGCAACCTTGATATGGTACTAGTGCATACCTTAAAATTATTTCAATATATACTTGGTGTTCCATAACTTTTTTCAATAGAACACCCTATATTTTTGGCCTATTTGAATATAGCTTCTAAAAACAAGAAGTTTGATATCATACAACGTATGCTTTCTATTGTCAATTATTGTTTAGATATTTTGTGAAATGTCTGAAAAAATGGCCAAATTTAACGACTCGCAGCTCCGCCATTTTTGAAGATATTTAGATAAATTTTAGTTCAGAAGAATTTTATCATCGATTTCAAGCAGATCTGGAAGAATTGCTGAAATAACGTTCTATTTATAAAGGGTAGGTGTCTCAGAACCCAAAATGTGCCTTTTACTTATAAATTTCAAATGAAACAGGCCAGAGAACACCCGGTATATTTCTACTTCATTAAATAGCTTTCCTTGGGAACTTTTGTTTTTGATACAAGGTTCATACCACTTTTTTCGGACAGTTTTCGAGTTATCACTATTATTTCCAGGAAAAAATATATTCCACATTTAGGCCTAAAATTAGATATTCTATGAAAATAATGTTTTTTTTCACACAATAAGACTCACTTTAAGATCTCCAGTATGTTTTCACAACCACGTTGTTTCAGAAATTAATAGCAATAACTCAAAACGTTTGGAAAAAAGGTTATATAAGTTATATAAGCCTTATACAAAAAAAACTATATATATATATATATATATATATATCATTTACCTAAACAGGCAATCGAAATCATATGTTATATGATATCAAACTTATTGTCTTTAAAAGCTCTATTCAAATATGCAATAAAATATAAGACGTTCTACTTGAAAAATATATCTATGTTTAGTATGACATGAAATTATGGAACGATCTGTATGTATTAGAATAATTTGGAAATATGCACCAGTAACATATCAAGATTGCCACGAAGGCAGATTGTTGATACCTTTTCCAGTTTGCTTAAAAAACTACTTTCACACCCTGTAAATTACTTTCAATTAAACTGGTTCCAGAAAATTCAGTTTATTTCATCAAACCTTTTCTCTTCGTATGCTCCATCCGAATATTCTTCAAAATGCTAATGTTGTATATATTATGTTTGATTATGGTCGCGGAGTTAAAAAGCGAAAGATCCTATGTTCAGTTTATGCAACTTTTGCGAAGTACGTCAGTGGTGATCAGTACTTAGTACTCCCCTGAGTGATGATGGTACACCTACATGATAAAAGACTATGAAATATAAATCTCATTTTGGTGGAAAGCTTGCCACTCACTTACAAACTGACAAAATTGGGTGGATTTCCGGACAAATGATCCCATACCTCCAAAAGTACCCATCAGAATATGATATGACCTCATGAGCCAGTACATAGCAATCTGATTACACATTTAAAACTCACCCCGTATATAAACCTGTATGTTACGCTGTCTTAGACAGAATTCAGCAAATATCTTCTTTATTATCAGATAATTTAGTGAACACATGAGAGCAGGGTTCATCTCAAGCAAATATATGTGCTTGTATGGCTATAAAAATATCCACTGTGTCACATATTCGGAAAAACCGTGACAAATTTTAAAATGACTAGAAATCAAATCGTCAAAAGAAAAAAATGCAGCTATCGCAGCATCCCCAAGTCGATTTAAATGGTTTCAACAAAAGCGTGCTAATAATTTTCCAATAAATGGACCTATGCTACAAATAAAGGCTGAAGAATTTGGGAAATTGATTGGATATTACTTCGGTTGTAATTCCGGTAGACAGGTTTAAGAAAAGACATAACATTGCTTTGGAAAAATGTGTAGTGAGTCAGCTTCAGTTGACAAGAACGTTACCGATGACTGAATTTCTCAAGTTTGGTCCGTAATATCCAGTGATTATTCAGATGATAACATATTCAATGCAGATGAAACCGGGATATTTTATAGAATGCTACCAGATGAAACTCATAAATTAGAAGGTGAAACTTGCAATGGAGGGAATCTATCAAAACGGCGAATAACTGTTATAATTTGTGCTAATGCTTCTGGTACTGAAGAACGGAAACTGTCGATAATAGGTACGTGAGTGAATAGAAATTCATGTTCTAATTTTTTTGATATTCAATGGTAGTGCTGCAAAGAATTTATGACCTTTCTTTATTTCAGGTAAATTTAAGAATCCCAGGTGTTTCAAAAATGTTAAAAACCATTCCCGTCGATTATGTTGCTTGGATGACTTCATCTATTTTTGAAGAGTATTTAAAAAAGTGGGACGCTGAACTTGTTAAGAAAAATCGAAAAATTTTGCTCTTGGTCGATAACTGAGCCGCGCATCCAAATATTTCACTTAATAACATCAACCTTCAACTTTTTCCATCCAACGTGAAATCAGTTCTGCAATCAGGGGGACCAGGGTGTCATTTGGAGTCTTAAACAATTATTCCTAACAAAGTTATTTTTAAAAAAATTATTTTAATCTCTTGTTATTTCCCTAACAAGTTAAAGGAAACATATGTTGATAAAAATTGTGGAGCTTCAAGAATATGTCAACATTACCAAAACTATCACCATTTTAGATGCTATAAATTAGCTTACTATTGTCTGGGAATTGGTTACTCCAGAAACGATTCGTAATTGTTTTCGCCATGCTGGTTTAGTGAAAAACAACTGAAATAGTCAACGATTTTAATTCAGAAGATGAAATTCCATTAAGTGATTTACTGAAAATTAATTGTTTACTGAATATAGACAAATTTAATGAGTATGTCAATGTTGACAATAATTTAGTAGCAACAAAGGAATTGTCATACTCCAATTTGGTTAATGAAAGGTCCGTTAATAACGAACAGGAAGACGAACTAGAAAACAACAATGAAGAACAGCTTCCAGTGACAACTAAGGAGGCATTAGACTGCGTTAAAAAGTTGCAATGTTATTTTCAGCAAGAAGAAGACAGTACAGATACACTTACCAAATTCAAATGAAAATTACTAGCTTTTTTACCAAATAATTTACGGTTTTCACACATACCTACTCAGTACGTATGCCTGTAATATGTGTATCAGATTCTGAAAAATTGCAAATTTCAAAATTATGTATAACTTTTTTGTATGTATCTTTATTTATGTAATACATATTAAACAAACACATTTTAAGCTTTTAATATGTTATTTCTGCTGCTTTTTTCATAAAAAAAAGTGTTTCTTTTAAGATGGTCATCCAACTATAATAGACTATTTGTCACAGTCCGGCCGAGTCCATTATAAGCGGGTTGCTCTGTAGTTTTTTTTGAATAACGGTGAACAGGTTAATGTTATTGTTAGTAAATCAATCTTTCTTCAGAAACAGGTAGTTTTTAGGTCGAATCGATCTGACTTTAAAACATTAATACTGATTTTTTTGAGAAACCAGTGGCTTAATGTTTTTATTTTTTGGTAATCATAAAGCCTTACTAGCATGAACATCAATCATGTATGAAAGACTATGTAAGATGATGATAGAATGATAAACATGAAAAGACAACAATCCCACCTTGCAAGCGTTTCGAGTACTGCTTGTACCATTTCACTGTTATTCCGAGGGTAGTACATACATAAGCAACTCATCGAGAGTTTCAATATCAGGATAACGTCAAAGCTACTTACTCGGTGACGAAACAATAGGAGAATTGTTTTTTCTTGGCGAGACATAGGGTCGACAGAACTGGGTTGTCGGGGACAAGCCTATTTTTGGGGAAAAACCTTTTGAGTACCTTCCATATTCTACTGACTCATGTCATGCAGAACTCTACTGCCTATTCATTACGTTAATTAGATGTCGTGATACTAATCGTAAAGCAATACAATAATGGCCATGATATCTCTCAATTATATTATCAAATATACTCCAGCGATTGCCGCTAGAGGAAACTAAGCGGTCACACAGGCCTAGAATGCTACGTCGGCGCCAAAAGCCGTCGTGTCAACATCCGAAACGCTTCGACATTGCCCCTGATAGAGGAAATCGAGCGGTAACTAACCCGCTGGCAAGTCTCATAACAACCCCCAGGATCTGGAGCCGGCATAAGTCTGTAGATCTTTGACTATAAGCTACGTGTAACTTTATCTTTTAACTACATTGATAAATATATCTCATCTGACTATTTTTGGATTAGGACAATTATTGTGGTGATTGTAATGGTACCATGGTTAGAAACTACACATGACATGCAGTACAGCGAAACTGTAAAGCAACGGCGTACCCAGCTCAAAACGGAAAAAATGTTGCTGGAAGTTTCAAAAATCATATCTACATGATATTTTCGTTTCTATTTGCATTTCATTTGACTCTTCATATGGAAAACTACTAGGATTACTTTTTTGAAACATTCAAGCAAGCCAAATGTGAACTCTGTTGTAAAAGATTTATGTATTCGTTAGAGTGAATGCAAGGGCCCCTCATCTCGAAATAAAAAAGTCTGGGTAACAAAGCTATAAGTCTATAGAA